TCTACTTGGAGGGCCAGGGGGAACTTAGTAACCAGGTTCATAACCCCATAAGTCATATAACGTGCCCGGCTAACCCCATGATTGAGCTACTTGCTAAAGCACCATGACCCTCCAAGCAAGTCGTACTGTCAGAGGTACGTTTTCAAAGCGGCGCGCTAGAATGGAAACCATGAAGGAGAAGAGGAATCCTGACATGAGCTTCCAACAAGCCATCTTGCTGAAGTCTAGTTGGGAATCAGGGAATACAATCCCTATGTAATTCTTATATACTATCTTCCTTTCTTCCCTACTGAACGCCACTAACCAATGGGATTTTTTGGGTGTAGTCCCTGCCATCGTCCTGCAAATACCAACTTAGGCCCAGTGCATCCCTCTATTGAGGTTTCTCAAGATGAGGGGTAATGGGGACATATTGGCATCATAGAAAAAGAAGCTATCGACTACTGTTTAGGATTATTGGGTTTCCCAAAACCCTGAAAACTGAAAAACCCTAAACCCTAAACTTAAGCCACCTTTTTGGATGGAATTCCTAGGATGACGAATATAACACATTGGAGTCTATGAGGAGCTCTGGAACTGCCAGATACCACAGGGGCCTATAGGGTTTAGGGTTTAGGATTTAGGGTTTTAGGGTTTAGGGATATCATTTTGAGGTCCATTTGTGGTTCCATAGACCATATTTCTATAAGGAATATGAAGCCATAATATTGGTAATTATTTAGGCCCCTATATTAGGTGCTTTCGGCCCAACCCATACATACACGATTTTGGCACAGGGCGCCAGAAGGAGGCATCTGAATCTTGAGGTATACTGCTATTGGTGGACAAAGCCGTGCACCAGCTAGGGCCCCTAAAGCCCTGCAATGCCCAGGAATTAAGTTGTATAGTATACCATAATATACTGTATTATAGTCTAATAAATTGTAATGTACTATATTCTGTTAGAATTTACTAGAACATACTTAATTCAATTAAGAGGCTTAAGTTGCAGGCTTTCTTCCATCCGCAGTGTACTTTGGTCCCATACCAAATACGGTGGATACTAAAAATCCTGCATGACCGTAGGTACCTTATACCTTGCGAATTGTGGTACTATTAAAGTCATGCAGGATTTTTAGTATCACCAGTACCACTACGAACCGCAACGGCACTATTTCCGAGCTTTTTGGATATAACTGACCCTAGAGGCCCAGTTACCGGCATAAGTGGGATACTGATTCTTAGCCCTTGTTAGACTATATCACTTTCAGCCTGTAAGCACGCACACATGCTCGCACACAGACACATGGAAATGTATCAAGATTGGAGGCCTCAAGGGACGCTCAGGACATATAGGCATGATCAGGAGGTATCGAATCCCCTGGAGGATCATTTTGGGATCATCTTGCTAAACTGCCATTTAACTATGTGGGCTTCGGGATGAATCACGCTGCCCCACCGATCCAGCAAGCACAGCATGAATTACCCCTGTGCACTTCATAGTAACTTGGGGAAGGCCGCTATTTGAATGTAATTCAGACGGGCCCCTGCAACATGTGCCCGCTCTACAGCAGCAAAGCAAGAAAGCAGGCAAGTGCAACACCCTCTAGAGACCCTACAATACCGAGACACTCTGAAAAGAGTTACTTCTTTCTGTCGCTTCGCGAACGACAGACCCCAAATCAATGTCAGCATGGGGACCAGCAACGATTTCTGAGACTGGGACGAAAGCGTTTTGCATAGCAGCTTTTTCCAAAACGATGGGTCTTTTTTTTGCTACTAGTGCGTACTGTATCCGTATTTCCATCACTTCGTGTCTATTATTGTTGCTGTTACCCCTAAGCCCCAAATCCTAAACTCTAAATCGGTATATTGGTAGAATTGTGTTGTGCACAGAGGGATGAAGGCAGGTGTCCTTCTCACCTTCCTCGAAATCCAATGTGCCGCAATCAACAATGACCTTGACTCAGATTGCTCGATTAAAGGCTTAGGGCTTAGGGTTTAGAGTTTAGGGAAAGGAAGGTGAGGTACAGGAAGCTAGCGCAAAGATAATGGAATCTTCACTAGGGACCCTTTAGCCCACCTATCTTCATCCCATCTGTCTACCCCTCTGACTGACTGTGGACAAACAGGGCTTGACTCCCTCCCGGTCGCGCAGTAGGGAATGCAAGAACTTCTTATACAAGCCGTGCAAAATACGGAAGTCTACATACTGTAATGTTTAGGGCTTGGCCATGAGAACGGAAACTACTGCGGCATCTCGGGTTTAGGCAACTATAGAGTATAAAGAACCCAGAACCCATGGCAACTGGGAACCCTAGGGGTAGGGAAAAGTCAGTGAGTGCCCAAGACAATCGAGAACACTATAACACTTGGGATTTACTGTAGAGGTCTCTTCCCTCGTTTCCTACTCGGCACCACGTAGTTGAGGGAGTTTCAAGGGATGTGTAAAGATAAGATGACAATGTCTTGGAGGGTTAAGGAATTACAAACCATGGCACAGGAAATGTACAAGGTTCTTATGGCGCTTTGCATGTCTGAGGGAGCAACAAGCTGTTGGGTTCAGCGTAAATTGCGGGACGTTCTCTGCCCCTCAGACGAAGTTTGCGTTTTAGGGTTGAGGAGGGTTTTCCATCACGATTGTTCAAGCATTTAGGTTGCTTGCGATTGAGGATTTGGCAGGGTCTTTCGGGGTAGCGAGGGTGGTTCTTACCGCAAGCATGTTAAGGGGGCTTGGCGGCCTCAGTTTTTCACAGTTGAGAAGCAGGAAACCCGAAGCTCAAGGGCTAGTTTCGCACATGATTCCATCTCAGAATCGCACAGCATTTTCTTCCGGCTCGCCGCTGGTTGTACCTGGATACTTCTGCTCAGGATTGTGTTGCAGTTGAGCTTTAAATGTGGTCATCGGGTTAAGGCTTTAGTCTGGTGGAGCTCGGCGCAAGCTTAAGAAGTTTTTTCATAAAAAGCCCCATAAAGTGTCTACCTGCTCAATTAGAATACGGTTTTGGGGTACGTATACCGTGTTCTCATCACAAAGACTTTCGAAGGTTCAGGCTACTGCACTGTATCAGAGGCTTCTTCAGGATAGGTGTTTGCCTATGGTCTAGGGCAGCGTGTCACCCTAAACCCTAAACCCTAATGAAAAGGATTCCTGAATCTGCAACAGGAAACAGAGCTCCAGGATGCCTCGAGTTGGGCTAGATTGTAACCCCCTATGGTTTTGGAGATTCCTGGGCTCTTTAGCTCCCCTGATTNNCCCCCCAAAAGTATGGGTAGTTGAATCTAGACCCTACGCTATGCACTATGATAGGTTCCTTTTGGGGGGGGGTAATGGAACATCACATTTTGTGTTTCTAGTTGGGTGGCCTGTAGAACTAAGGCAACAATGACCCAGGTGATGCCTTGGGATCTAGGCATCGAGCAACTCCAGAACATCCCCTCTCCTGATGCTTCTGAATCAGAAGCCCAAAATAAGCAACTTGTCTGGGACGAGTCTGGGCAAGTTGGGGTTCATTGCAAACGTCCTTCTCAAGCCATCTGGGGATTGAACAGCTTCCAGAGACGTTCGTCCTAGAATGCCTGGAGCAAGACATCCCGGTTCAGATCCCCTGAGTACAGTCCAGATCACCCTACACACGAATTTTGGGTGGCTCAGAAGGTGGGCTAGACCTGAGTGGGTGGAAAGGCCTGGGGACGTGCAAAAGCACTGTGTGTCTTAAAAGAAGCAGCCGCTGAAAGGAGTGCCATTTCACAGTCGACATGGCGCAGGGGGCAGGAGCTATCGTTTCATAACAGAGAGAAGGGAAGATCACGTGGAGTTACCCCATAAGACATTTTCAGAATCTCGTTGTCACGCGTAGCAGGCCTGGAATGGCTCGGTATCCGTTGAGCTGGGCTCAATTCGCAAAACGGTCGCCAGGCAAGATCTGCATATGCCATACCGTGGTAACAATTGCCGATACACCCCGACCCAGGTTGGTGTATCCGAAACGAAGGAAAGAGATACATAGATCTAAAATCCAGGTCTTGGATAATTACACCTCGCTCCAAATATAGAACAAGAGGCGATTGGGTGGCGTATCCGCAGTTCAGGATGCTTTGATGTGTCATGCAAGGCCGTCAAATCGTTTCAATGTGCCAAAATGTGTTGCAAGCCGGCAAAACTGCAGCGCACACTGGCATGTAACATGACGCATAAGAGCACCAGTTGCTAGTACGCGCAGGAAAGCCACGCTTCCAGAAGACATGGCTCTCTGGACCAGGAAAATCCGGGCTTCTTTTTGGCGGCTTGCTCTGGAAAACCTTCTCCAATCACTGACATGACTTGCGAGCTGCGCTATCTCGCTGCCCGCGCTCAGAACCAGATGGCAGTTGCGCTGCGACTACGTAAAGCAGGCGCCCTCAGCAAGCTTTAACTGATCATACCTACTTCGGCATACTCCCATAGGCCACATTCCATCCAAGTACGAGCTGTGTCATAGGGACGTCAAAGGGACCCCCCCTTCCAGAAGCGCACGACACCCGTCTTGTTGGAGACGTGTATTGCACCGTTCAGTCAAACTGATGTCCAACAACTTCAAAATCAGCTGCGAGAACTGGGTTTGGTTTCACATGGCTCTAGTCGGGACCCCGAACAGGTAACCCTAAGAGTATAAGAGAGATATGATAAGAATGCACCTAACATGGTCCTTACATTCCGATGATATTCCTACTATATTATTGGGGTTCCTGTTTGGGTTCCCCATTAGAGTCCCTTATGTATGCTTGGTCTGAGAACCCAGGCTTCCGGTTCCAAAGCCTGAACCTGAAAACGAGAGCCTCACACCCTACCACCCTAAAGACATCCTTCAAAATGCCTACCTGCCCATATGTTCACTAATTGAGGGGGACGCCCTAAACACCCTTATAATTCAGGATGGGGGTAAGAACTAAGCCCTAAACCCTGGCTCTTTAATCCTGACCCTTAAGCCTTCGACCCCGAAACCCTAAATCCCCCTCACCAGCCCCACCGAGGATTTTGCCCAAGGATTCGATGGCTTTCACGACCTCATAGCCTTTCAAGACCTGCATTTAATCACTGGATTTCGGATAGGGTTTAGGGCTTAGGGTTTCAGGTTTAGGCCTCCCAGGGCTCCCAGTTACCCAACTGGTAGGTTAGTGGGCTATGGAACTACTGTTGATGGAGGAAATCTTGCACCACCTAGGGGCCCTAAACTACTGTAATTCCTGGGACTTTAGGGACTTCAGGTGGTGCAAGATTCCATCCATCAACAGTATGGGGTATATGCCAAACCACAACCTATTATTCGGGTATCGGGAGCCCTAGCCTTCGTGATTTTGGGGGAAGGGGAGGGCCTACTGGACAGAACCCTACACCCTATGAACTCCAATTAACAGGAGCTCGTAATGATTGGGATCTCAGAGTTTAGGGGTTTAGGGTGTAGGGCACTATAAGCTCATGATAATCTGGGGTCTATAGCCCTAAGGATCCATATGGCCCAATGTAGGTAGTGTAAAGACTGTAGGGCCTAATAAACATGTTATTTGTATACTTGGATCCCTAGAGTAGTATAGGGTAAAGCCTGCAAAGCATAAACGGCCGGGTTTACCAACTCAATGGCGCAGTAGGCTGCATGCATTGTTTGGAGGTAGGCCCAGATAGACCTGAACATAGCTGTGAACAACGGTTAGTTCCTTCAGAACACACTCTACCATTCCCACCCTATGCCCTAAACCCATAAACTGTAAAGCCTGAACCCTAAACCCCTAACCCGATTTGCCATAGAAAAGCCGGGACATGTCAGAACAGCCTCGCCAAAGCCCACGTACTTGAAGTTGAGATGGTCCGCCTCTGTCGGGGTGGCTCAAGGCTTAGTGTCTTGGGTTTAGGGTGCTTCAAGGGCTGGAGATTACCTATAGATGCACAAGTTCTCGTACCTAACACAATGGCTTTTGACCCGCGGAAAATGAGTTTATTGGGTGTAACACTATGTATTTGGGAGGTCTAGGTAGTTTGAATGAAACAATGGCATCCATGTGCCGGCAAGCTAGATGATATGATCATGAGCACCATGCTTGTAGCAGCATGGCAAATATTTTGGAAAGGATGAAAACAACACAGCTCGCGTGGCGAGTGTAGCTGCATGTAGCAGTTTCCAAAAATAGGGGAATCTCGATATAGACTCTAAGATACTATGCGCCTCGCTAGAGAGACAAATGTACCCCTAATCTTGGGAAACCCCGGTGTAGCACTAGAACTTGGGACATTATTGCACTCGTGTGGATCCAGAGAGCAAGCCAAAGTAGTCTAAGTCACCATCTTCCGCGCTTCCCGAAGCCCAAAACCCTGGATATCTCTCTCCCTACACATCAACATCCCATAAATCTTGAGATATCTACATCCCCATACCCCACCCCCACAACAAAGATATCTTGACGACTAAACCTGTTTTTGTATCCGGGCTCTTAAGACCTAAACCCTGAACCCTAAACCCCCTAACCCTTAGCCCTCAACCCTGAAAACCCTAGCCTTCTTGGTAGTGATGAAGAACTGGGATCCGTTGGTGTTTGGACCGCCATTCGCCATGGCTAATAGCCCCTTGTCCCGGAACTTCATGCGAAGGTTCTGGCGCGTTTACGGTTTACGGTTTCAGGTGTTTTTGGGGTTTATACGGTTTATAGGGTTTACAGAGTTTAGGGTTGTAGGGTTTCAGGGCTTAGGGTTTTAGGGTTTCAGGGCTTGGGGTTTAGGGTTCAGGGTCTGCAGTCCCTCTTGTGTAGATAGAATGTGGGCTGTATGGGGATCTCATTATGATATACGGGGATTCCATATTCTGTCTACGTCATGGGGATCCTGAAGAGTTTAATGATTATCGATTGGGGGCTGAAGGGTTTAGTAGGCTTACGGATTCGAGGCTGGCGCTCGGGATCATAGTTTACTTAGAAGCTCAGGTGGAGCTAGTAAGCGGATTATCTTCAAGGGACTATAAATAGGCCAAGTCATATGAGGGAACTTGCAATTCCATTTGAGACCAACTTACTAAGTCCCCTGCCTTGCAGTCGGGTTCAGGATTTCACGTTTCTTGGAGATTGCGGTGGGCGGATCATGACAGATGAAGTAACTTTGGTAAAGCTAGCTGCAGTTCAACCCTGAACCCCTGAGCCTCCCATTAGAATCCTAAACTCCGAAAGACAAACATACTTTTCCTGCTTCTCAAAGCTGTGGGAGTAATGTCTCTGCAGGAGAACCATTTAGGGCCTACAAGCTTCCCTCCACGCGCTTAAGGTTTTAGTTCTTAGGGTTACGGGTTGATGGTGCCAAACTGGAACCTTGAACTCTAAACCCTTAACCCAAACCCTAAACCCTTTCCATAAACCCTAAAGCCTAAGCCTTTGAACTAAACCCTAAAGCCCCTAAAGCCTACACCCTTAAACTAAACCCTAAAGCCTAAACGCTTAACCCTAAAGCCTAAACCCTTAACCCTAAAGCCTAAACCCTATAGGGTTTTGGCCATGTGAAGCAAGCCGCGCAGTCCTCATCCTCGAAGGTGGGGCCATAGATGGACTCTCCCCCGGAACCTTCCTCGTTCTCGAAAGTCTGGCCGCCCTCCAAGGTTTGGGGCTTGGATAGAGGGTTGGGGGTTTAGGGTTTAAGGGCTTAGGGCTTGAGATTCAAGAGTGCGGATTCAGGGCTTTAGGGTTGAGGGATTGTAGGGCTTGGGGCTGGGGTTTAGTTTTGGTAGCTGTGCCTTGCATTGCTCCACCCATTTTGTCACGCTTACTCCTCATCAATTGACTAGTACCATTCACGCACTGACAAGGTCATTTCTTGGGCATTTGAAAGGGTGAGGCAATTAAATTCACTATTGCCTACATGCTGCATGTTCTTTCTACATGGAAGGCTATGTCCTGCTGCTGCTCCTCCTGCTATACTACGACGATGACGACGACGACGTTGACGACCACTGACGGCTGACGACGTTCTTGGCTATTAATATGAATAAAGGCCCGCCATAGTTCCGTACCATTATATGTTCTGAGTACTATATTTGTTATTAGGAGGACGGGGGGGTTGAGTATCTGGACCTCCTGCTTTGCATTCAGTTTGCCAGCAAGCCCTCATGAGGTCCCAGGTTTTGTAAGCTGGAGGGAGATCAGATGGGTACAGGGATCTTGAAAAAGATGGTGCTACGTACTCTTCAATACCACTGCCCACCAGGTTGAGGCAAACAAGGTTCGACAATCTACAGCTCCAGTCAGTTTGACTCAGGGCATGGGCAGGAAAACGCTCTCTTTGGAGCAACGGCTCCCTGCCACTGTTGCTACTAGACAAAGCATATGCTGCGTAAATGCAATTGGCACGAGTCGCAAGTATCATTCGCCCGTGCGCCAGCTTACACAACCGAGCCTGGATGCAGAAGCCAGGCACCACCCGGTGAAACCTGGTCGTTTGGCCATTTCACTCGCTCAAGGATAACAGTTAAAAGTGGTCTCGTCATTTCCCAAAAGAGGAAAGGGTACTTCAAGGACTTCATGTTCGACCCACTTCAGTTTGTGGCTTGGTCTGACGACTCTTGTACTTCTCAAAACAGGGGCCGAATTGATAGGCCCCCAAGATTTGTAAGTCCTTATATCCAGGAGGCAACAAAACCTGGTCATTGTTGAGGAACGCCCATTTGGGCTTTGGGAAAGATGCTGTGAAACTAAGAACTTTGGCTTCAAGTGTTTGCTAAGGACTGGCACAACCCATCATGGTAACACACTCGACTGAAAATGAGAAGTGAACGGTCCCACAGCTTCTAGCCTTGTTCTGACTGCATCCTACCTTTCGAGAAAGCAATGGCATTCTTGGATGATTCCATTGTTCAAGGCTTAGGGGCTGAGGGAGGCTCTTGACAATAATCCACCGTCTGCCATGCCCTGATGCAAAGGGCCTGCAATAAGATCCCTGACCCCAACATCCTTGGAGACAAGAACCCCTTTCCCCCCAAGGCTTACTTGTAAGGGCTGGGGTATGTAAAGCTGATCCTATCACCTGTTGATGAATCCACGTAGGCTGCTTGAAGGTCTTCCTTCTCCTGCACATCTATGTAGGCCTTGGCGGGTAAGCCAATCCTCCCTGTTTTGAGCTGAGGGTTTAGGATTTACGGTTCAGGATTCAGGGTTTAGGGTACCCTCTTCTAACATCGCGGCCCTCCAGATTGAGGCGACGGCTTCTCCACCCCTGCCTTTTGTTCTTGGGGAACGGAGGACAGACTGAAAGAATTCCCATCGCCAGACCTAAAGCGATCACACAGCATGATCCCATAACATTGTCCTGTAGCAGCCCCCTGAACCCTAAACCCTGAACCCACTTCATTCCTACAAGCACGACGAGACCTAGATGCCCAAAGCGTTCTACCGCGTGGACTGGATCCTTACTTGAAGGTTCAGGGAGACTTGGTAGGCTTTGGGTTTAGTGCTTAGGCATACGAATAACACCCATATGCCCTCAGCTATATGATAACCCCAGTTGTCCGCGTGACTATCACGCTTGCCAATTCCCTGATCCTGCAAGTATAGTAGTACCCTAAACACTCCCATAGTAGCCTCCAAATCCCATTCCGTAAAACCTAAACACTAAACCCTAAGCCCTAAACCCTAAATCCTAAACCCATAGTAGGCCTCAAAATCCCATTCCGTCATTCCCTAAACCATTCTGGCGCCTGGTGCCCTTGTAGTGGAGTGGCTCCCCTGTCTCCTCACTCGTTCCCTGCCACGGGGTAGAGTTTGGAGCTTAGGGGGGGGGGGTCTAAGGCTTAGGGTTTAGGGGTGGGGGTTTAGGGTTGAGGGTGTAGAGTCTAGGGTTGGGGGTTTAACTTGGGACTTGGGGGTGACAGCAGGCTTCTAAATACATACATATAAGTACATATGATATACATATATATATATACATATATACACATATATATGTATACATATGATATATATATACACATGTATATATGTATGTATATACATATATCTGTATGTATCTTTTTTGTTCAGCCCTTTGGACTTTTACGTCTGCCACAGGCAAAGGGTTCAGGCGATCGTTATGTAGGGTTTAGGGTTTAGGGCACAGAAGTATGTGTATATATATATACATATGTATATTCAGTTGCGTTTCCCTTAGCAGGCTTAAAGAGAGTATCTCAAAAATGAGCTTGTGTTGCAAACAAAAAGCTCTGCGTCAACTCTTCAGCGCCATGCCCTCGCGTAATGCCACGCATTCTGCACGTTCACTGCACGAAGTCTTGACTGTGCCGAAGATGGGCTCAATGCTTTCAGACCGAGAGGGTCCACATATACAACCATTAGGGAATTGGGACCCAAAATTCCTTCTATAGTATCGTATTTTGAGGACGAACTCCCTAATAGTTGTATATATGGACCCTCGGGGGGCTGCTGATTATTCTGAAAACGCTGTAGCCTGGTCGCCCCTTTCTTGAAAAACCCTCCTTCCTGAGCCCTCAACCTGAAGTCCTGAGCCCTAAAAACCCTATAGGGTTTACCTGAACCCCCAAAAAATATGTAGAGTAATGGCCTTTGGGCTAGGTTTTGGGGTCTTGGGCTATTATTTTACCTACTTTTTGGAGTTCAGGTAATGTATAGGGCTTAACCCTAAACCCTAAAATTATCCAACATCCAAAGGCCGCAAGGCCCAAGCCACACTGAAGGTGCTCCCTGAATCTGGGTCAAGCTGTTGGGACAAGCAGTGCTATTGTTGATGGATGAAAGCTTGCACCACCGAGGGGCCCTGAACAACTGTAATTCCCAGGACTTCAGGGATTTTAGGTGGTGCATCAACAAGTTGATGGAGGAAATCTTGCACACTAAGAGCCCCTAAACTACTGTCATTCCTGAGACTTTGGGGACTTAAGGTGGTGTAGGATTTCATCCATCAACAGTAGGTCCAATTGCTAAGCAAGCTTCTGAGTCTTGGGAACACACATCTTCCTAGATCCTTGAAGTCCTCCCTTTTTGGAATATGCTTCATAAATTCCCTATACCCTCCCTCCCCCCCCAGTTGCCTAAATAGTAGGCTGCAGGGATATGTAACTATAGGGTATATAGAACCTAGAATCCATTATTTAGGTAACTGGAGCCCTAGAGCAAATGTGGGGCGAACATCCCCCAAACGAAGGATGCATAGGATTCCGGGTGTCACTGAGGTTTACGAGGCCTTTGTGCCCAAAAACCTGAAGGATGGTAAGGTCCCGGACAGGTGACAACGAAAAAGAGCCTGAAACCACCTTGAAGCATATTAAGGGCTCCTGTGCGTGAAGCTGCTCAGAGTATAGTTGCTGCACTGCAAAAGCTAGATGAACCGAAAAAAAGAGATCATGTGTTCTCTATGGTAACCTGGGCAGTGCCGTGCGCAGACACAACTGCACATGGCAAGGCGTAATCGAAACTGCGTCTGTGTTGCCTTCTCGCCGGTGCAGAGGCACTTGAAGTTCTCAACCTTGCTACCAAGGCCGTGTGGAGGATGATGCTGGGCTTCACCATCACAAAGTTTCTAAGAATGTAAGCTGGCACGTCGGATGTGCATCGAAACATTGAGACCCTTTGCTCTAGGAACCCTGCACGAGAAAGCTACTACAAAAGGCTGCAACATGGAGCCAAGGTGACTCTGTTTTTTTTTTCTTTTTTTTGGGGGTGTCCATCATCGATATGGAGCTGGCAGGTATCTGCAGGGGGCTTTTGATTGTGAATGCACTGCGTACAACTCAGAAGCACAACAAGTGCGAGTATGACCTAGCTGGCCACGCCAAAAGCACAACCGCTTTGACGACCGACCTCGCCAATCAGAATAAACATTCCTGTCCTTTGTGGTCTTTGTGCGCCACGGCACTTTCGAAGTCGCACGTTTTAGCAGCATACGGTGGGATGTGTATGAGCAGGACCATTCTCAGCAGCTGAGACAGCCAAACACCAAACAAATGATCCACAAAGCTCCTGCCATTACAAAGCCTGTTTCTGGACAAATTCTGACTTTAACCCAAATTAATAGTTCTTGGCTGGTTTTTGAGAGGTGAGGACGCAGCAGACAGAGGATGAGTCGAGGAGTCGCAGAAAAACAGCTGTGCTGCTTCAAAGCAGGATGTTCCCAGACCACCCAAGAGGATCCAAACAATGGATCCCCCCCCAAAAAAACATGGCTCCATTACTACATTGGGGAATGTAGGGGTTCCATTTTTGGAGGTTCCTTTAAGGGGTCTGGGCTTGCAGCGCTGAACATCAATGGGCCAACAGAGGCTTGCACAGGTTTAGCACCTGACAGCAAACGAACAACACCTTCTAAACTCTAGACCCTAAACTGGGTTCTTGTTGAAATACCATTAAAAAGATCTTTGTTTATTGATATTTGGCCCAGGTACTCATAAAAATGTAAAATTTTGTTCTACAAGAGCCCAGTAAAGCCCTAAACCCTAAACCCTATAGGCTCTAAGCCGACTCCCTAGAGTTTAGGGCTCAGGGCCTATGTAAGTTTGGGGTTCACTGACCCCTAGACCCTAAAGCCTAAGACGCTGAATCCTTAGATCCTAAAACCGAAGCCCCAACCTCCAAAGCCCCGCGTAGGTCTTTTGCGGGTAATATTTGATGACCCTTTACTGTAATACAAAAACCATAACAAAGCCTAAACGGAACCATATACATAAATATATATATATATATGTATATCTATATCTATATAGAAAAGCGCTTGTAACAACCCTTCCCGCAAAATCCTCATCAAATTGCTGGCATAGTGCTGTTCTGGGCATGTCCGCTCCATAGAGGCCCATGACCTCCGAAGGCTCACATGGTACAAGGTTTAGGGTTTAGGGTTTAGGGACTTGGATTTAGATTCCAGGGTTTAGGGTTGCTCTAAGGGAAGCCCAAGCCATGGAATACAGAATACCGCCAACCTTTCCCTAACTAAGCTTACCGGTGGTTCGTAGGGAATCAGGGACTACATCCCATTAGAATCCCCATTCTATACTCCCTAAAACAGGACTACAGTCTGCTTGACCGGTCTTTCTAGGGTTTTAGATTATGCTAAGGTTGAAGCGTGACCTTTACTGTACTTCCGTGGCTGCTTTTGGAGAATCCCTGGCTCATGACAAGGTGTGGGGATCGCAAAACCACGCCTTTATACATGCTGAGCCGGGATTAATATTGGGATAATCGGAAAGAAAATGGAAACTACTATTTAAGGTTTAGGGCTTAGGGTGTAGGGCTCCTGGGAGTTTCCCCAACAGGGAGGATATAGGGAAGCTCCGAGATAGCAGCTAGCTCTGAATGAAATTGGGAGGCTAACTTAGATGAATTGGAAATTCCTCAAACCCAAACAAATGGAAGATTCACTCCCCCAAACTACCACATAGGGTTTAGGGCTTAGGGGACCCAATATATAGCCCATTAGGGCAGTAATCTCTATATGGCTCCTTTTCAAGTTCCATGTTAGTTTGGAAAAATATATAGCCCTACAAAGGATGGAACCATAGAACCCGAAGGCTCCCCAAAAACAAACACACCTAGGGACCTACCTGGAGGGTCAGGGGGACTTAGCAAGTTAATCAGCCCTACAACCCATATAAAAATAACCCGTCATCCTCATTAGTTACCTAGTTACTTATTCTGAGCCCCAATGACCCTCCAAGTAGGGTTTTGGATTTAGGGTTTAGGGGTGCAGGCTACATGCTACATTGGCGCGCGCAGTGGATGCAGGAAATCTTGCAACCTAGGCTCCTCTCAATGCCGTAATTCCTGGGGTATATGGAGTGGGAGGTAGCGTAAGATTTCCTGCACGCACAGTATGGGTAGCATTACTTGAACTCAGGACCACTTAAATTCTTTCTAACTACTTCTTCCTTCATTGGCAGTATGCATTCCTCCTATAACGATGAACCTACAAGAGCCCCCCCTACCAAAAACAGTAACATTGAACCCAACTCATAGGCCCCCAAACCCTAAACCCTAAACCGTAAACCCTAAACCCTAAACCCTAAACCCCTAAGCCCTAAACCCCTAAGCCCTAAACCCCTAAGCCCTAAACCCCAAACCTTACACTAATGCTTGGGCGGGCGCAATGCGCCCCATGGGCTTCTCGTCAATCTCAATGTCGAAGAAGACCTTGTCAGTGACCTCATACTTGAGCTCCTCAGCCAGCTGACTTCTTTGAAACCCTAAACCCTAAACCCTAAACCGTGTTTAAATGTTGTTTTTGCATTTGGCGGTCTAATGAATCGTCTGTTTGTGATTGGCTGCTTCTGCGTCGGAACTCGATGCACATCAAGTATAGATGCTTGAGCCCCTGCCCAAAGACGCTTTCACGTTGCCCGGGGATGTGGAGATCCGGTTTACGCGTGTAACATTTGGGCTCTACAGCTTTCAGTGGCCAAAGGCCCAACCAAACCTTGCACCCTTACACTCAACTCTCCAACCGAACGCCTGCGAAGCATGCGGAGGAGGCTATTCAGATGCCTATGAACTATAGCCCCCCCCCTCCCTTAGGTGGATAGAATATGGGGGTGATATGGGGATAATGGAAAAGAAATGGAAACTACTTCTTTAGAGTTTCCCTTAAGTAGATAGGGGTTACATTATGTTGGGATAATGGAAAAGCAAATCAAACCACTATTTCGGGTTTAGAGTCCCCCTTAAGTAGAATCAATGTATTAGGGGTATATGGGAATAATGGAAAAGAACATGGAAACTACTTCTTTAGAGTCCCCCTTAAGTAGATAGAATATATCAGGGTTATATTGCGATAGTGGAAAAGAACATGGAAACTACCATTTAGGGTTTAGGGTTTAGAGTCCCCTTAAGCAGATAGAATATATTAGGGTTGTATTGGGATACTGTAAAAAACATGCAAACTACCATTTAGGGCGTAGGGTTTAGAGTCCCCCTTTAAGTAGAAAGAATATATCAGGGTCATATTGTAATAGTGGAAAAGAACATGGAACTACCATTTAGGGCTTAGGGTTTAGAGTCCCCCTTAAGCAGATAGAATGTATTAGGGTTATATTGGGATAATGGAAAAGAACATGGAGACTACCATTTAGGGCTTAGGGTTTTAGGTTTAGAGTCCCCCTTACGTAGATAGAATATTCGGGGTATATTGGGGTAATGGAAAAGAAAATGGAAACTACCATTTAGGGTTTAGGGTTTTAGAGTCCCCCTTAAGTAGAAAGAATATATTAGGGTATATATAGGGATCATGAAAAAGAAAATGGAAACTACTATTTTCTGTTTAGAGTATAGTTTTTTCCTCTAGTAGATAGAATATGGCTTTGGGTATGTTATACTAAAACCCCTATGTACCCCACATTCTATCTACTCACGGAAAACTATTACTTCGAGGCTCGTAGTTTTAAGTAGGGACACAGATGCCTCAAATGGAATTGGTAATAACTATAGCTATCCAATGTATACCCTAAACCCTAAACCCTAAACCACCACCTGACAGGTCAGGGTGACCTAGTAAGTAAGTTAAACTGGGGTGTAGGGTTTAGGATTTAGGGTTTAGGTAGTTGTGGGGATAATTAACCCCAAACCCTGAGACCCTGGCTTCTATCTGACTTATAGAGGTGGCTCACCTACGTACTAAGTCCCCCTGACCTTCCAAGCAGCTAATACTTACTGAGGGTTAGTAGGAATACTAAGAGCCCCAAACCCTAAAACCTGCAATCCCTTCTGCCCTACTAAGAACCAGTAAGTAGAACTACATCATGACTTACCTTGGGTTAGCTGGGAATGAAGGAATGGAAAAGAACATGGAAACTACGAATTATGATGGGTTATATAGGGACTACCATAAGGATCAACTCCCTCGCTCCTAGTTAAACAAAGATAGCCATACTGAAAAAGCAAGTGGCTAGCTTATAAGTATAGACTGTCTCCAAAGGAAGCTTTTTTAAACAGCGGAGGCCCGGCTTCTATAAACAATCCTGCATAAAACAAAAAAAACGCACTTGCCTACTGGTTCTTAGTGCGGAATAAAGGAATATGTTATATGGGGATTATACACCCTTATTTCCTACTAAGAACTAAGAACCAATAAGTTTGGGTCAAGGTGGGGTGAGGTTGTTCTGCTTCCACCCCTAGTCCATATAAACCTTTTACAAAGTATGGTGCTTGTTTTATCTACTTCCTTCGGCTTGTACTTCACCCAAAATGAAAAAGTAGTGCCCAACAAGACCACAGCAACCGGAACTCAACCAAGCCTTACTGGTTCTGAGTAATTGCGGGATAAGGGAATAATATCCCTATATGAGCTGTAGTCTAAACTCCTAGTATCCCCCTTAATAACCCCTATAGTAGTCCCCTATATAATCCCCCATATACCCCCCTTTAAGGAGTTTAGACCATAGCTCATATAATACATCTATACTACAGCCCCATATTCACCATCCCCAGACCTAAACCCTAAACCCTAGACTATATCTATATATGGGGGGTTTCCCAAAATTAGGGGTACCTTTTTGAGGGTCCCCATAATAGGGACTATAATATATTGGGGTCTATATTGGGGTCCCCTAATTTTGGGAAACTACCATATACATATGTCTATATTCCCAAATTCCCTACTAAGAACCCGTAAGAGGCTTGAACTGAGCTCAACGCAGATTTCGTCCGTTCGCTTTGGAGCAAGAAGCGTTCGCTCACGGGCTCAAATCTATCGTAGGCGTACCTGGGTTAGACTTTGGGGTTCGAGTTCAGGGTTTTAAGGGTTTGGGGTTTCATTCTATGGTTTTAAGTTTAAGGGTTTAGAGGTTTGGCGGTTTGGCAGCTCGTCCCCCGCCCCTCCCCTCGCCTCCCGCTTTACCCCAAAAAGGGAAACACAAAAACACAACAATAAAATCTAACGAGTCAAAGTCTAAGGCAAATGGTCGTGGCTACCTGTGTCAACGTCAACTTTCACTGCTACTAGCTAATTTGGGATTAGCGGTTTGGGTATCTGTATCGGGGACTAGGCTAGAGTCCTGAGTTGGAACACATTGGCTGTCAGGTTGAATTTAGCAGCCTATCCATAACTCCACCGATGGCCGTCTCCATGTGCTTGCGAAGTGTTTGCCATTGATGGGTGTGTCATCGATGTTCGCGTCCCCTGGACATATTCTGAGAATTTTGTTCGCGGCTTCGGCGAGGTTGATTGTCTCTTGACATGATGAACAGAAGGGCAGGTCTTGTGCCCAGTCAGGGTTTAGGGTTTAGGGGTATCCCCAATGGATAACTCTTCACCTGAGAAGCGCACCAGACCTGTTCTCGAGTGCGCTTCTCGAGCCAGATCACGATACATCGCTCCTGGCCGGCTGTATTATAACATCTGGACTCCGGAGTATGGGACAATTCTCTTTGGAGGGTTGGCTGTTATGTAATTGGGGAGCTGAGGTTTTTTCAAAACGTGAAGTAGGGCGATGTTGGAACCATTTGTCTTAAAGCTGACTATTTTTGGTCGTTTCATTCCCTGAGATAAAGCCATGTTGAAACCGTTTCCAGTATACAGTTGGCTGTTTGATTCTGCGTGGTGCTTTGCAGACCCCCAAAGCCACTCAACAATATGTACCCTTTTGCATTGACAAATGCAGATCAAGCACTAGTGCAAAGTGCTAGCTAGTGCATGTATGTCAAAATCAGAAACAAGGCCAATTCGGCACCGTTCTCTTGATAAACTTACAGGCGGTTAGTAGAGATTAATTCAAAATAATCCCTGCAGAATATCTTCCCTTATTCTGTACTGACCACCGGTAAGTGCAGCAGCATGAATTTGCTCAGTCCTTGTACTCGCCATCATCTAGTTGGAAGTACCTGAAAGAGTTGGATCAGGGTTTCCAGGGACCATGAAACCCCAAACCCTCAGACCCGAAACCCTGAACCCTTAAACTCCAAACCCTAAACCCTAAATGAGCCAATCAGCTCAAACCTGAAATTCCTGGGGTACCGTTTGGGGGGTCCTTCTAACAAGGATTATGGTATTTGGGTTGCCTATATTGGGGTGCCCCTGTTTTGGGAAACTACCCTATAGGGATGTTATATAGGGATAGCGGAAAAGAACATCGAACTTACCATGCTGCGCTGCTGCTGCTGCTGCTGCTGCTGCTGCTGCTCCTCGCTGCTTGTATGTCAGCCTCAACAACTCTGTCGCCGTCCCCTTGAACATCAACCTCCGCATCAATCTCATGTGAGCAATACTCTAAACTCCCAGTCCTAGTATATATCGCCCCTAATGACCCCTATCATACTCCCCTCTATAATCCCCTACATAACCCCTTTAAGGAGTTTTGACTACAGCTCATGTGTCTGACAGAGGTGGGACTAGACTAGGACGGCATATGCAACTATTGAGACAAAGCCCTACGCGCCATAAATCCACTACCTCATGCACTGAATTCTATGCACCATGTTGCTCCGCTCTTGACTCGTAGAATAACCGAAGCCCTAAATTCTCAGGAGTGAGCCCTAGTAAGCACAGCTTAGGGTTTATGAGAATGGTTCTGTTCCTCAGCTACAAAACTCACGGCTGACACCAAATTCAAGCGATTCCTAGCAACAACTGAAGATCGTTAGTGGCAACATACATTATAAGCTCGGAAATTGCTGTTCCCCAAGAAGACCTTGACTCCAGAGCGACCCGGGCAAAGACTTGCAAAGCATGGGTTTAATGGTTTAACAAACATTGACCTGGAGTCAAGCCATGTTTTCGTATGCTGTACATGCTGGCTTTCACATGAGCCATTGTCTAGACTCATAGTATCCCCTTAATAGGCCATATAATACTCCCCCATATAATCCCNNGGAGTTTAGACAATAGCTCACATAAGGAAACCCATCTCCATGGCCACGTACAGCGCGGCTTATGTGGGCCACAGTGGCCCAGTGGCCTTGGGGTGTAGGATTCAGAGTACCGGGTTTGGCTGGGTTGCTGTTAAGG